CGACAAATATGACCGGAGGAGTAAACTGTGGAGGGGGGCACCGCACACGGCTAAGAGAACAATTGATGTGCTTTGGGGTGCCCCCTTCCCCCGTATATAAAGGAGGAGGGGAGGAGGCCGGCCCTAGGGGCGCACCATGGGGGAGGGGGAAAGGGGAAAGGAGAGGGAGAGGAAGAAGGAAAGGGGGGCCGCGCCCCTCCCCTTGTACAATTCAGACTACCCCCGGGGGGGGCACCACCCCTTGTGGGCTGCCCTCTCTCTCCTCTATGGCCCATGTAGGCCCATTACTTTCCCTGGGGGGTCCCGGTAACCTCCCGGTACTCCGATAAATTCCCGAAACACTCCCGAACCATTCCGGTGTCCGAATATCATCGTCCAATATGTCAATCTTTACCTCTCGGACATTTTGAGACTCCTAGTAATGTCCGTGATCACATCCGAGACTTCGAACAATCTTCGGTCACCAAAACACACAACTCATAATACAAATCGTCATCAAACGTTAAGCGTGCGGACCCTACGGGTTCGAGAACTATGTAGACATGACCGAGACACATCTCTGATCAATAACTAAAAGCGGAACCTGGATGCTCATATTGGTTCCTACATATTCTATGAAGATCTTTATCGGTCAAACCACAATGACAACATACGTCATTCCCTTTGTCATCGGTATGTTACTTGACCGAGATTCGATCGTCGGTATCCTCATACCTAGTTCAATCTCATTACCGGCAAGTCTCTTTACTCGTTTCGTAATGCATCATCCTGCAACTAACTCATTAGTCACATTGCTTGCAAGGCTTATCATGACGTGCATTACCGAGAGGGCCCAGAGATACCTCTCTGATACTCGGAGTGACAAATCCTAATCTCGATCTATACCAACCCAACAAACACCTTCGGAGACATCTATAGAGTATCTTTATAATTACTCAGTTACGTTGTGACATTTGATAGCACACAAGGTGTTCCTCCGGTATTCGGGAGTTGCATAATCTCATAGTCAAAGGAATATGTATAAGTCATGAAGAAAGCAATAACAATAAAACTTAACGATCATTATGCTAAGCTAACGGATGGGTCTTGTCCATCACATCATTCTCCTAATGATGTGATCACGTTCATCAAATGAGAACACATGTCTATGGTCAGGAAACTTAACCGTCTTTGATTAACGAGCTAGTCAAGTAGAGGCATACTAGGGACACTTTGTTTTGTCTATTTATTCACACATGTATCAAGTTTTTGGTTAATACAATTCTAGCATGAGTAATAAACATTTTGTTGGAAATATGCCCTAGAGGCAATAATAAATTGATTATTATTATATTTCCTTGTTCATGATAATCGTTTATTATCCATGTTAGAATTGTATTGATAGGAAACTCAGATACATGTGTGGATACATAGACAGCACCATGTCCCTAGTAAGCCTCTAGTTGACTAGCTCGTTGATCAATAGATGGTTACGGTTTCCTGACCATGAACATTGGATGTCGTTGATGACGGGATCACATCATTAGGAGAATGATGTGATGGACAAGACCCAATCCTAAGCCTAGCACATAGATCGTGTAGTTCGTTTGCTAAAGCTTTTCTAATGTCAAGTATCATTTCCTCAGACCATGAGATTGTGCAACTCCCGGATACCGTAGGAATACTTTGGGTGTGCCAAACGTCACAACGTAATTGGGTGGCTATAAAGGTGCACTACGGGTATCTCCGAAAGTGTCTGTTGGGTTGGCACGAATCGAGACTGGGATTTGTCACTCCGTGTAAACGGAGAGGTATCTCTGGGCCCACTCGGTAGGACATCATCATAATGTGCACAATGTGACCAAGGAGTTGATCACGGGATGATGTGTTACGGAACGAGTAAAGAGACTTGCCAGTAACGAGATTGAACAAGGTATCGGGATACCGACGATCGAATCTCGCGCAAGTATCATACCGCTAGACAAAGGGAATTGTATACGGGGTTGATCGAATCCTCGACATCGTGGTCCATCCGATGAGATCATCGTGGAACATGTAGGAACCAACATGGGTATCCAGATCCCGCTGTTGGTTATTGACCGGAGAACGTCTCGGTCATGTCTGCATGGTTCCCGAACCCGTAGGGTCTACACACTTAAGGTTCGATGACGCTAGGGTTATAAGGAATAGATATACGTGGTTACCGAATGTTGTTCGGAGTCCCGTATGAGATCCCGGACGTCACGAGGAGTTCCGGAATGGTTCGGAGGTAAAGATTTATATATGGGAAGTCCTGTTTTGGTCACCGGAAAAGTTTCGGGTTTTATCGGTAACGTACCGGGACCACCGGGAGGGTCCCGAGGGTCCACCAAGTGGGGCCACCAGCCCCGGAGGGCTGCATGGGCCAAGTGTGGGAGGGGACCATCCCCAGGTGGGCTGGTGCGCCCCCCCCCACAAGGGCCCAAGGCGCCTAGGGTTTGGGGAGGGGGCGCACCCACCTAACTTGGGGGCCAAGTTTCCCCTCTCCCCCCCTTGGCCGCCCCACTAGATGGGGTTTTGGGCTGGCCGCCGCCCCTAGGGTGGAACCCTAGGTGGGGCGCACCCCCTCCCTCTCCCCTATATATACTTGAGAACTTTTGGGGATGCCTACAGATGAGTTTTGACTCCATGGCGCAGCCCTGCCTCTCTCCCTCCTCCTCTCACGCGGTGCTTGGCGAAGCCCTGCAGGATTGCCACACTCCTCCACCACCACCACGTCGTTGTGCTGCTGTTGGATGGAGTCTTCCACAACCTCTCCCTCTCTCCTTGCTGGATCAAGGCATGGGAGACGTTGTCGGGCTGTACGTGTGTTGAACGCGGAGGTGCCGTCCGTTCGGCACTAGGATCTCCGGTGATTTGGATCACGACGAGTACGACTCCTTCAACCCCGTTCTCTTGAACACTTCCGCATAGCGATCTACAAGGGTATGTAGATGCACTCTCCTTCCCCTCGTTGCTAGTTTCTCCATAGATAGATCTTGGTGACACGTAGGAAAATTTTGAATTTCTGCTACGTTCCCCAATAGTGGCATCATGAGCTAGGTCTATGCGTAGTTTCTATGCACGAGTAGAACACAAAGTAGTTGTGGTCATTGATTTTGTTCAATATGCTTACCGTTACTAGTCCAATCTTGATTCGGCGGCATTGTGGGATGAAACGGCCCGGACCGATCTTACACGTACTCTTACGTGAGACTGGTTCCACCAACTGACATGCACTAGTTGCATAAGGTGGCTAGTGGGTGTCTATCTCTCCCACTTTAGTCGGATCGGATTCGATGAAAAGGATCCTTATGAAGGGTAAATAGCAATTGGCATATCACGTTGTGGTTTTTGCGTGGGTAAGAAACGTTCTTGCTAGAAACCCATAGCAGCCACGTAAAACATGCAAACAACAATTAGAGGACGTCTAACTTATTCTTGCAGGGTATGCTATGTGATGTGATATGGCCAAGAAGA